TACTATTTCCTTCTTGTTTTTGTCAGGTGAAATAAAACCTCTCTTATGACCATTACTTTATTAGTCTGAATGCTTACAGGACCCTTTTGGGTAGAGTCGTGAGTCACGTTTTGATGTCTGGGGAAATTGTTGGTTGTGGAAAAATTGAGTGATAAAGATTATTGATAGTGACCCCCAAGGCAGATCAGATCCATCAGTGTCAGGGATTGGGATCCAAATGACAGAAAGGTGACATTTTTCTATTTCCCAGGAAATGGAAACCTAGTCCTCTGTCATTTTTCCAATTTTCACTTCGTTCTAAGTTTTTCCTCAGAGACTCTATTTTTGTTCACAATTGCTTTCAGTTGATAATTTCAGCAGTCTGACTATTATCCTCGTTAGCTAAAGAAACTAAATTACAGATACTCCTCCATGTGTTTGTGTGTGTGTGTGTGTGTGTGTGTGTGTGTGTGTGTGTGTGTAAGAGAGACAGAGAGAGAGAGAGGACAGAGACAGAGAGGCAAAGAGAGACCGAGAAAGAGAGACAGACAGACAGAGACAGAGAGAAGACTTGAGGACCAAAGACGAAACCCTGTTGAGTGCAGGAGGAGGAAGACCAAGGAAAGAGAAAATGAGAAATCAGAGAAGCAGGAGAAGAATCAGTGCAGCAGAATAGAAGTCACATCATCTATCCATTTTTCAACCCATTCAGGAATAAGCCAGAAGTAGAGCTACATGATATATGCACCGTGACTTTAAAAATGGTTGGATCTACTCATTTTTAAGCTTCTAATGCTCAAGGTAAAAAAAATTATCCTTTCAGTTCTATAGAATTCAAATCCATATATTGTGGGTTTAAAACAGGGAAGTTAAGACTGTAAAGCAGAGGTTATATGGTCCAATCTTTTGCCATTGATATGTGCATGTGAGCTATGTCAGTCCTTTAAAACAAGTCTATTTACTCCTTGGAATTCAGAGCAACCATTTGGAGCTCTTGTGTTCACTGTTAATTTCCATACAGCTGTGGAAGAAAATAACCTGCCAGGGCACTTGGAAACAGCTGCCTACACATCCTAACTGTAGTCATGCTTCCAAGGAGTTACTTGAACCCTCCAGAAGTGATTGTGGTGTTTTAGGTAAAAAAATCAAGCATGGTGTCCCCTGGATACTTTCTAGTTTACCAGAGGGTTATTTGCAGAACTCCTTCTCCTAAACAAGATGGTGCCCAGGGGTTTTGTATTGGTTCTATTGCAGCAGGCCACCCATCAGGGTTTATTGGTCAGGGTCCCATTTATGTTGCATAACAAGTCTGTGTTTCCTTGTGGATGAGAGTCCTTGGAACTGGCCCAATGGAAATGGATTTATACTTCTCTTTTCCCAGGAAAACAGAAGACTCTTGAAGTCATATTCTTACCATGTATAATGGCATGTGTTTTCCGTGCAATATGAGAGGAGTTGAGTTAATTCAACAAACATCTATCAAGCACCTATTACTCTGATCTATGCTGAGGATACAAAGGCAAAACGACATAGTTCTCTCCCTCAAGAAAGAGGCATACAATACGTATACAAGTAAGGCAGCAGAAAAACTAAGGTGACTTCATGAGGTGGCATGAGTACCAAAGCTGAATACCAAAGAAAGAAAAATACTTGGGTAGACAAGGGATAAGGGACAGCTTCTATGTACACATGGAACCAGGAGATGGTATGTTGAGCCTCAGGGACAGCTGGTATTCAATTTGGCTAGAATTTAGAGCATACGCCGTGGAATAATATGAAATAAGGTTGAAAGATAGATTGAAGCCAGATTGTGAAGAATGAGGAGTTTGTATTTTATCCTAAAGTCAATAAGGAGGCACTAAAGGTTTTTAAGCCAAGGGAAAACATGGTTAGACCTGTGCCTTAGGAAGAATATTTTGGTCCATTTGTGGAGTTATGATTGCAGAGAGAAGAGAACAGAAAGATAAACTAGGAAGCTCCTAAAATATTCTAGAAGAATATGTCTAGAAGACAGATGACAAGATTCTGAACTGGGACCATTGCTGTGTGAGTGGAGATAGGAGGTTGAATATTAGAGATGCAGAAGGAGAATTTGAAAGCACTTGTCCACTGATTGAACATTGGAAGTGAGGGAAAGCATTAAGGGAGGTTCTGATGTCATTAAACTGAGTGACTGAAGGGATAGTGGTGCCCTCAATAGAAACAGGAAAGTCTGAAGGAAGGCAAGTTCAATAATAGCAATAATAGATAGCATTTATACAGTGATTTCAAGTTTGTAAAGCACTCTGCATATATTATATTATTTAACTGACAACCATCCAGTGAGGTAGGTAGCAAAGATACTACCATCATTTTGCATTTGAGGCAACTGAGGCTCAGAGAGGTTAAACAGCTTGCGAACAGATGATGTTGGATGTGGACTCCAGGCCTAAATTGCACAATTCCATAATACAATGCTTCTTCTAAATAGGTTTTTTTGGCAAATGAATTCAGTTTTGGATGCTAATCAGATATCTAAGTGGAGATGGATAGCAGGCAGTCAGTGATCTAAGAGTTGAGACTCAGGAGAGATATTAGTGCTAGATACATAGATTTGGAAGTTAATCACATAAAGTTATAATTTAATCCATAGGTTTGAATGAGTTCAACAAAGGAAGAACATAGAGAGAAAGAAGAGGACAGAGCCTTGGGAGAGACCCATATTTAGGGAGTGGGGAGATCCAGCAAGGTAGACTGAGAAGAAGAAATAAGAAAGGTAGGAAGAAAACCAAGGGAACATAGTGTCAGAACATTGGGGCAGTCAACAGCACCAAAAGCAACAGGAAGGGCAAGGATTGAAATGGTCATTGGATTGAGCAGATAAGAGGTTAGTGTAACTTTTACGGATATCTTCCAGATTTCCCTGAGTTCAAGAAGATGGGAAGTGTGAGAAGAAGAGTTCTATGATAAAGGAGAGTTTGTTATTAGTAGCGTAGGGGGATGCCCATCAATTGGGGAATGGCCGAACAAGCTGTGGTATATGATTATAATGGAATACTATTGTTCTATAAGAAATGATGAGCAGGATACTTTCCAAAAAACTTGGGAAGACTCATGTGAACTGATGCAAAATGAAGTGAGCAGTGCCAGGAGAACATCGTTCACGGTAACAGCAATATTGCACAATGATCAACTGTGAATGACTTGGCAATTCTCAGCAATACAATGATCCAAGATAATTCCAAAGGACTTAGGATGAAAATTGCTATCCACCCCCAGAGAAAGAACTGATGGAGTCTGAATGTAGATCAAAGCACACTTTTAAAAATTTTATTTTCCTTGAGGTTTTCTAGTCTGTTCTTTCACAACATCTCTAATATGAAAATATGTTTTGCATGACTGCACATGTATAATCTATATCAAATTGCTCGCTTTCTCTAGGAGGGGGGAGCAGAGAAAGGGAGGGAATTTGGAACTCAAAATTTTAAAAAATGAATGTTAAAATTTGTTTTTACTTGTTGAGAAAAAATAAAATTAAAAATATGAAGTAGGGGTTCTACTGTGGAAGCATAATAGAAAGGTAGTAGGGAGATAAGGCTAGTGATTAGGAAGTGAGAGGACAAGCTGGCATAAAGGGTTTGGCAGGTAGGGACCCTGAATTACAAGGTTTAGGGGAAGCATTAAAAGACAAGTCCTGAGCTGAAGGTTGAGTTCACCCACCCTCTGCTTATTAAAGCTGACCTCAGGATAATCCACTGACTAATGTCTAAGAGTATGTGGTTAAGGCCAAAATGTGTCTGGCATTAGAGCAACTGGAGAAGATACAGTACACTCACAATGACAGATTTCACATAAACCATTTTAGTTTTTAAATAACTTCTAAGTTAAAAAAAATCCTAATGTTTAACCAAAAGTTTCTTTGACCTAAGTGGATAATCTTGACTTTGACCTAAGACAACTATTTAGAAACTGGTGTCCTAGTATTATGCTATCTTCATCTTCTTAATAAGCTGAACTTATCAGATCTCTTCATATTTTATGAGTTTGAGTTTTCTGACTCTTTTGGCTGCTATCTCTTGGACTTCTCCCAAGATATATATGTCCTTCCTTCTCAAACACTTTTTCCTAAATCAGATACAGTACAATGCAGTCAGATCACAACTTGCAAGTGGTTTTTGTTCCAAAAGTTTGTTTGGAAACTCAGAATAGATTTTTTTTTTGTCACAAAAACAATATTTTAAATAGTGACTCATTACTTAGCTACCCCTTTAAAGCATATCTAACCCAGGATGTAGTTGAAATTATTTATTTAGTTGACTCATCTATTAAACCTACACTTTAAAAGTTCTTTTTTTTCACTCCCTTATTCTTATCTTCCTTCTACTTCTCCTTCACCTCCCATAACACTTCAGGTACAATGTGGGCTTTTGTGGGCTAGCCTGGGAATCTAACTGCCATGGGAAGGTCACTTAACTTTATTGGGTCTCAGTTTGCTTAATAATAATAGCTAACATTTTTATGGCACTTTAAGCTGCTATAGAAATACTTTACAAATGTTATCTCATTTATTCTCACAAACAAGTCTGAGAGGTTAGTATTTTTATTACCTCCATTTTACAGATATGAAAATTGAGGCAGACGGGCATTAAGTGACTTGCCCAAGGTCACATAGCTAATAAGTATTTGAGGCAGGATTTGAACCTGGAGTCTTCCTGACTCCAAGTCTAGTGCTCTATCCACTGGGTTACCTAGCTACCTATAAAATGAGGAGGGTCACTAGATGACCTATAAAGTCCCTGCCAGTTAGGAATCTATGTTACTAATAATTCAATACCCTGTTTTCCTTAAAGCTAACATTTGTAAGTTCTTGATTGCACCTGGTCCCAGTAGAATCACTGCGCTGGCCAGGAGACAGTCTTTTATTTATGCCAGCTGTGTGAATGTCAACTGTCAGAAGAAAAGAGAGAAGTCAAATGCCTAAGAGATATCACTACAGTCCAAGGTGGATGTCAGCTTTCATTTTTAATGTTAGAGTTCCTTACCAAATTCACTGTGGTCATCTACCAAAATGATTTCATGAAGGAGATGCCATGGAGTATGATCAAGGACACTGTGCACTGTCCGAAGCAAGGCAGAAAGGACTTCCTTGTAGAAACAAATGATAACGCTGGCAACTGGCAGATGGTAGGGATAAAACTTGACCTGACATCTGTAGACATAAAGATAAGAAGAAAAATAGTCATTAAAAAACCCTGCATGGTTCAGATTCCAATTTGCCAAATTTCAAACACCCATTTCTAATATCCTCTGCTTGTCTTGATCTCTTTCTATTTATGATGATAAGAGAAGCTGACATTTGTACAGTAGTTTACTACTTACAAAGGGCTTTCCTCTGAACAGTCCTGTGATATGAGTAGTACAAGTATCAATATTCCCATTTTAGAGATAGGAGAAAGTGAGGTGTAAAGAGATTAAATGACTTGTCCATCATCACAAGTTAACCCAGGTCTTTTGCTTCCCAAGCTCCTTTCACTAGGCCACCTCAGTTCATTAAATAATCATAGGGTATAGAGCACTGGACCTCAAGTCAGAAAGTCTTGAATTCAAATCCTCAGTTTCCTCAACTTTAAAATGGGGATAACAATAGCAGGGTTGTTATGAAGATAAAATGAGATAACATCTCTAAAGCTCTTATAAATGTTAGCTAGCTATTTAATAAGCTTATAAATAAAATTATTTATAATATTTGTGTTACAATTATTTGTAAGTACTATTAATAAGAATTTATAAAAGCTGGCTAGCTATTAATAAGATTAATAATAAGCTATTCACAGCTGTTAAAAGATAAAGAATAGGAGATCACTTAGCTTTTTCTAATATTTTCCAAATAATTTTTTCTCTTGCTATGACTATGATGATTGTTTGGCCTTGCTTTGGTGAACTTCAGCACTGGAAGGGACTTTAAAGATCACCTTACCCAATCCCTCATTTTATAGAAGATGAAATTGAAACCCAAAGAAACAAACATATTTTGCCAAGGTCCTACATATCTTCATCCCAGACTTTTTGCTGTGGTGAATACTGTCTCATTTTCATAAGGTGGAAGACGGTAGGAAAGGAGGTTATAGAACGTGAGCCAGGACATTATCCAGCAGCATGTCAGTGAAGTGGCAAGAGAAAAAAGCATCAAGAAGAAAAAAATCGAATGAAAACTTTCAGTTTTAACAGTTGATAAGCTTCAGGGTGGGACAGTAGAAAGAGTTTAGTAGGCTTTGGAGTTAGCAAATTTGAGTTCAAATCCACTTTGGACATTTATCACCCTTGTGACCTGGAGCCCATCGCTTGACCTCCGTGGTCCACAGTATTTACAGATGAGGAACATCTGTAAAATGAGCAGGGTCGGACTAAATGACCTCTGAACTCCCTCTAGTCCTATGATCCTATAGTCTTAATACAGCATTCTTTGTCTTCCCCAAACTGATAGGTTTCTCTATTGGCATGTCTCCTTTCTTTCACTCTCTGTCCTTCCCATTAGATGAAAGGGAAAGAAATATTCTCTCTCTGGTTTCCTTTTCCTTCCTCATGCACTGTGAAAGGGGGTTCTTTTTCTTTTGACAGACACAATTATTTCCTGAAATAATTTAAGCATCCTCAAGATTTTTCCTCAATCTTATTGTATTTGACTATTTACAGTTTTCATGGAAAATACGCTTTTTGTTTGTTTTGTATTTTTTGTTGTTTGTTTTTTAGGCAATTAGCTTTAAGTGACTCAGCTAGTAAGTGTCAAATGTTTGGTTTGAGGCTGGATTTGAACTCAGGTCCTCCTGACTTCAGGGCCAATGCCCTATCCACTGTGCCACCTAGCTTCTCCAAAAATACACTTTTTAAAAGAGTTGTTTTGGTACCCATTTAAAAATGTGTTCTATAGCTCTAATGGGTCTTTCTCCAAATTAGTCAAAATTATTATAATTGGGTTTTATATTTTGACTCATTTATAATTTGTGTGTCACACCAACTTATGAACAAACTCTTGGAACATAATCCATTTATAAGTTGGAGACTGCCCATTCTCATCTGCATCTAATTTAGAGGATAAATTTTTGAGCAGGATATCTGGGGATTCTGAGGATATGGCAGAGTGAGAGGTTGCAAGGAAACCAGGTTCCTCACATTGCCCTCAAAAACAACAATAGAAATTCAGAAAAAAAGAATTAAGATTATGGAGAATATAATAGAAAATCTGAAAATGTTAATAGACAGAATCAAGAAAAGAATTAATACAGATGAAGATAAAGTCATAGACAACACAGTGGAAATGAGGAAAAACAGAAAATGATTCAACTGGTGGACAAATAATTTTTGGAGCAGAAAATGCAACATGTTAATGAACATGAGAAAATTTGTTCAAATTCTCTCTGAGGAATGTATTTAAAATCACTTTATGATTGCACTTTACACCTATCAAACTAGCCCCTCCCCAGAAGGTTTAAATGATAAAATTCAGTGAAGCAATACCAACAGTCCATCCTTTACACAACTGATCATCCCCTCTGACTAACCCAGCGATTCCATTGCTTGGACTTTATCTTAAGGATGTAGAGGAGGGGAAAAGACCTCTCTGAACAACAGTATTTATGCCTGCTTTATCTGTAAGAGCAAAATATTGGAAACAGGCTATTTACCTAACAACTTAGAAATACCTGAATAAGATGATATATTAACGTAATAGAATACCATTATACTGTACACAACGATAAATTTGAAGAAGGCAAAGAAATATGGAAAGATCTAGAAGGATCTATAGCAAGGGCTATAGAATAAGAGCAACATACAGTATATATTAACTGCAACTACTAAAAATACACATACGAAGACAATAAAACTTTATAACTACGAGATGGATTTGGAAGGTGATATAGAACAATCCATTATTATTTTGTTAACACATATTACATTGCATATATCATATCATATTATAGCATAATATAACAAATATAACATATGTTATTTTTAATTACTTTGTTACATTGTATGCTATATTATATCATATTGTGTTATGGTGTTATGTTATATTATATTATGTGATATTATTGTTTTTTTTCCTAACCAAAATATAAGTATCTCAATTTTTAAATTTTATTTGGAGCTTTACAACATCAATTGAATTTTAAAAATTTGTTAAGTGTTACTAAGTTTCGATGGGAAAAATAGATCACTTTTTTTTAAAAGGACTCATACACATCTACATCTTGGAAGGGGCCTACCACTAGCCACTGTGTACTACTAACTAGTGACCAGCATGCCAACTAAAATATTCTAATATTTAGCCGTACTATGATATTAACAGAAAAAAAAAAGTTAGATCATGTTAAACTCTATGTCTTCATCATTATGCGTGGAAGGTAAACATTCAATCTGAGAAAAGGATTCTCCATTGCATTAGACATGTAGACATTTACTTCTTTCTTGTATAATATGGTCAAGAGATATTTTTCAATTAGGTATAATTATCACTCTTCTCTTATTTGCCATCTAATTTGTGATTTTGAACAAAATAGGAAGTCTTGTGGATTCCTGGATTCAGGATTTATGGTTTCAAATTGGAGGTTTCATGGTTTCAAATCATTACTGCCCTGGTGCCATCCTAGTCCTGAGCTCAGAGACAAACCTCCTTGATAAAAGGGAGATTAGCATCCCTCTTTAGCTGAAGACCACCAGAAACTACAAGGTGTTACAAACATGTACAGAGATATTAATCAATCAACAAGCCTTCATTAAGTGCCTATATGCCAGGAACTAGTGAGTGTAATCATAAAAATTGTAAGAGCATTGAAAAGGAAAGCTATAGAGAGAAAAACGAGGGCCACTATTTTGTGTCTATGATAAATGAAATCATAGACTTGAATTTAGAAGAGACCTTGGAAGTCATCTAATCAAAACCTTTTATTTTGCAGGTAAGGAAACTGAGGTCCAGAATGGTTGTGACTTGCCTAAGGTATACAAGTGATAAATGTCAGGACCAGGATTCAAGTCCATGTCCTCTGACTTCAAATTTAGTATTCTTTTCCACTGGCCCACATTTAAAAAAAAAAAGTTGCAGCTGAAAATACAATCTCAGATGATTTCACTTGAAGTACTATAGCACTGGAATTCTTTCTCAGAATTTCCTAACAAGTAATTGATGGTTAACTGCAGGATTTCAATGCCACTCTCATGACTTAATTAAAAGGGCCCCCCAAGCATAACGTTAAACTGCATTTACAGAAAATAGTAACTTACTTCATGCTCCTCGTGTCTGGCACATGTCTATGATAGCTCAGTTGGTTACTGATAAGTATGTTGAAGCCATGTTGCTCAAAGCCCAAGTCTCTGATCTGAACATTTTCATTAAAAATCATATCTGCTGCAGAAAGACATAGTTAACTACATTATAGAAGTACAATAAAGTTAGATTTACAAAAATTATTTGCATTTCTATTCTTGTGACACACTAGTAGGAAATATAGTAAGAATAGTCAAATATCCCTCCAAATTATCATACTTGAATATGAATTTGACTTGGGACACAAGATAGACACTCAAAGAAAATGATAAAATCCTTCCCGGAAAAACAAAGATGACATGGAAAAAAATACAAAGATATATATTTTATCCTGAGAACTGAGAAATAAAGCTGAGAATGCTATATGTTTAAAGATGACAACACTCTTGAAATTACAGAGTTAATAAAATGTAGAAATTTAATATAAGAAATTTAAAATCATATAGTAAATAGATTTAATTTAATATTCATTAAAATACATGGAATATTTTACAGAACTTGACATACTAATAATAGCTAGCTTTATGTAGTACTTTAAGGTTTGCAAAGCACTTACAAACATGACCTCATTTTATCCTAACAAAATCCCTGGGAGATAGGAGCTATTGTTCTCATTTTACAGATGAAGGAGACAGAAAGAGAGGTCAAGTGACTTGTCCAGGGTCACACAGCTAGTAAGTATCTGAGTCAATATTTGAACTTAGGACTTCTTATTCTAGGTCCAGTATTCTATCCATTGTACCATTTAGCTGCCTATAAACTTCTGAAAGTGAAATGGTTCTATAAGAATAGATGTACAAATCATGTCCAGTGGACAGTGGCAAGAGGAGGAGTGACCTATACCCAATAGAATAAAACTGTTTCCCTCTTCCCCTCTCATGTTACCCCCGATAATCAGTTGGCAAGAATGTAATATCATGTTTAGGTAATGATGATGGCCTTAAGATTTGAATTAAAAGCAGAAAAAAAAATTGATCAATGGAAAAGAATATAAGTTCCAGAAATAGACTCAAACCTTCTGAGACCTTCAGATAGGACAAAATAGAAGTGAAACAATGAGAATAAATATTGAGATAAAGGGATAAGATTTGACTTGGACCCATACTTCATTCCATAAACTGCAATAAATTTCAGTTGGTCAAAGAATCAAATTTTTAAAAAATGGAATAAAATGAAACAGCATTGATCTCAGCTATGCAGGAGAGACTTCTGAAGACTGCAGAAATAGAAGCTATCAGATTATTCACATATACAAATTAAAAGGCACAGTGGAGTTCCATAAAATAAATACCAAAAGGAAAACATCAGGATGGGTAAAATGGGTAAAATGAATAACAAGTATTTATTAAGTGCCTACTATGTTCCAGGCATATGAGGGCTGTGCTATATGCTAAGCTATGACGGCAAAAATACAAATTAATAAGACAAAACCTACTCACAAAAATGATAAAAAGCTTACCATCTAGAAAATATGGAAAACTGATACAAATATTTAAAGTCAACAATGAGATTCCACTTATCAAGTCACAGAGCTATGAAATGTCAGAAGTGGAAGAGATCTTAGTTCATTTTGTGTCATTACCAGACCCTTTCACTGTCTGGTAAAACCTATGTATGGCCCTCTTCTCAGAATGCTTCTAAATACACAAAACAAAATGCATAGGATTAAAAGAAAACAAATTTATACTGAAATGCAATTATCAAATTAAAAGAAAAACAACTAAGATCTCTTGATCTAGTACAATCCCTTCATATACAGATAAGGAAACTGAGGCCCTGTAAGGTGGAGACTTGGCAAAGATTGGGTAGCTATAATTGGCATAGCTGGGAATGGTTTACACGTGAAGAAATGCAAATAATAAATCTCCATGGAAATATGACATGAAAGAACATACAACACTACTAGCAATTAAAGAAATGCAAATTAAAAGAGATTTAACGTACTTATAAACAACTAAGTTAGCAAAAATAAAATGCTTAAAAACAGTCTTGGCAAGGCTATGGGGAAATAGACACACATATGTTGCTGACGGCACTGCAAATTATTTTAATCTTTCTGGAGAAAGATCTTCCAATATTTAGCAAGAGCTATAAAACTATTTGTTACCTTTTGATCCAGAAACCTATCTCTTCATTCATTTAATATTTATTATGTGAAAAGTACCATAGCAGAGAGTAGGGAAGAAACAAATATAATTAAGACATGGCACCTGCTCTTAGGAGATTCCACGCCAAGGAAATGACACAAAAGAGAAAGGAAAAAATTATACAAAGTGGTCTTGGAAACCCTGTTTTTAATAGCAAAAACTTAGATATAACCCAATAACTCTACAATACAGCATTACAAAACAAATCATGATCACATGACTCCCAGATCAATGTATATATATGTATCTCTCCTCCTCCATATTTCCAGCCACCCACTGGACATTTTGAATTGGATGTCCCATAATGATCTCAAATTTGACAGGTCCAAAACAGAATTTATTATCTTTCTTCCAAAATCTCTTGTTGTTGAGTTGTTTCAGTCGTATCTGACCCTTCATGACCCCATTTGGGTTTTTCTTGGCAGAGATACCAGAGTGGCTTGCCATTTCCTTCTCCCAAAATCTACCCCTCTTCTGAATTTCCCTCTTTCTGTAAAGACATCACTAGTCTTATAGTCATTCAGGTTTTCAGACCTGGAGTCAGCCTCAGCTCCTCATTCTCCTTCATCTCATATAGTCAGTCAATTGCCAAGTCTAACACCTCCCTCCTCATTTCTGCCTGGTAGAATCCCAAGCTTTCTTCAAAGTTCAGCTCAAGCATCAGCAGCTGCTAGAACAGTGTCAAACTCATTGCAAGCAACAGGCAAAATTCCACAATGTGACCAGAACCAGATTAAAATGTAATTGGGAAATGTTTAAAAAAATAAATTAAGATGCATCATAGATCATGTTAATTTGTGGTTTTCTAAGTCAATGTGTGGCTTGCAGGGATTCATTTCTATTTGAGTTTGGTAGAGTATTCCCCTCATACTACTTGGAATTTACTTTGTGTGTATGTCCATATATACATATACATATACATATATGTGTATATATGGACATACACACAAAGTAAATTCCAATTCCAATACATGTATACATATATATATATGTACACACACATACTTGTATGTGTACATGTAGTTTTATTCACAGAATGTAAGTTTGAGGACAGGAACTATTTCATTTTTTCTCTTTGCATCTCCTGTGCCTGGCATGGTACCTAGCACAAAGAAAGTGCTTTGTTGACGGATTAATTGATGATAACACATAGCTACCTAAATGTCATTTTACTTCTTAGTATCTATTAAATAAGGAGGTTGTATTAAATATCTCTAAAGTGGCTTCTAGCTGTAGTTTTCTATAATCTATAATGTTAAATTGGTACAAAGCGGATTGGGTTGGAAGCCAGGAAACAGCATCTCTGGGTTGGAAAGGGCCTCAGAGTTCTGATCAACCTTAATTAGGATAGGGAATCACTGAATCACAAGATCACAGGACTTCAGAGATGGAAGGGACCTTAGTGGCCATCTAGTACTACCTGAATCTGAAAAAGATTATTTAAGATAACACACCTGTCAAGTGATCACACAGCCTCCCTTGGAAGACCTTTAGTGAGGGAGAACCCAGCACCACCTTAGGCAACCTATTCCATTTTCAGATAGCATTTTAAAAAAGAAGTAATAAGGTAGAGTGGAAGGATAAATTGATAGGATGGAATCATAGGGCCTGAGTTAAAATCCTGCCTCCGTCACTTAAATGTAGTAAAGACTATTGGCCCTTACTACAAGATCATGGGCAGTTTATGTAACCTTCTTTCTTGTCTGTAAAAATCAAAGGGCAAGACCAGATGGCCTCTAAGATCTTTTCCAGGTCTAAATCCAGGATACTGTGGGGTAGGGACTGTGTGACCTGATGACCTGGTTCTGAATTAGGGCTCGGCCACTTACTACCTGTGTGTCTTTGGGTAAGTCCCACACTTCTGTGTGCTTCAACTTCGTCATATGTAAAATGAGAGGAACAGGTGACCTCCTAGAGCCATTTTAGCTCAAAATTCTATGATTTAAGTGTTAGGAGATTTGTTCTTCCATCCAGCTGAAATTTGCTTCTCTGAAATTTCCATCGACTGTTCTACTTGTAGGACCAGCTAGCTTAAGTATAATCTTTCTTCCACATGACAGCTTTTCAAGAATGTTTTTTTTTTGTTTAAAATTTTAAAACTTTATTCAGGATGTCCCCAGAATCTTAATGCAGTTTTTAACATTTTTTCATACCTTTAATTTTTTTATCTTTAATAGTATTTTTTTTCCAATTATGTGTAAAGATAATTTTAAACCTTCATTTTTCCTAAAATTTTGAGTTCCAAATTTTCTCCCACCTTCCCTTTCCTCTCCTCCCTAAATCAGTAAGCAATATGATAAAGGTTATGCACGTGCAATCTTGTAAAACATATTTCTATATTAGTCATGTTGTAAAAGAAGAAACAGAACAAAAGGAAAAAAAACACACACATATACACACAAAAAAAGGGAAAATAGTATGTTTTGAGCTGCATTCAGACTCCATCAGTTCTTTCTCTGGATGTGGGTAGAATTTTCCATCATGAGTCTTTTGGAATTGTTCAAGAATGTTTTTGAAGACAGTTATCGTGCACTGGGGATGAGGAATGGGTGTGGGAGGAGGTGGAGAAAGAGAGCATGGCCTTTTCTTTGGCAAGTTCTTTCAACCAATCCTTGGCATGGACTTGAGTCCCTTTGCCATCCTAGCTGCCCTTCTCTTGATATGCTCTAACTTATCTGTGTCTTTGAATTGAAAACAATATTCCAGATATGTCTCTAATCCGGGCAGATAAGTCAAAACTATCAATCAACCAATTAATAAACATTAAGTGCCTATTTTCTTTTTCCTTTTATTTTATTTTTTTAGTAAGGCAATCAGGGTTAAGTGACTTGCCCAAGGTCACACAGCTAGTATGTGTCAAGTGTTTGGTCTGAGGCCGGATTTGAACTCAGGTCCTCCTGACTTCAGGGCCGGTACTCTATCCACTGCGCC